ACAAACTGCTAGCCAGTGAGTCTGTCGCTTCTTAAGTGTATTAAAAACCGGATAATAAATGAATCATATCGATCTAATGGGGGTCTACCATGAGAGATGGGTACACCACCATGAGCTTTAGTGGTCTCAGATACTAAGCTAACCTGGGGATCTTTGTTGTGTTGTCTGCCTCTCTGAGATAATGGCATAGGCTTTACTTCACATCTCGAGAGACACTCAGTTATTTTTGGAACAAGACCAGAGGTGCCATCTGGAACACAAACGCTGTAGCACAATGGATATGTTGTCAATTGAAACAGTACATTTCAGCGGGCTGAGTGGACCTCCATGATGGATCATCACAGCAGCTGCTCCTATCCACTTTATACAAAATATAGATAGTTTGAGTCGGGCTGGCTTCTCAGAGCACACACTGTTCTTTTCCAGGAGGTGAGGTAGCAGAGTTACAGCACTGAAATGTGACTGTTCAGCACTCCAAATATGAACCTGAGTGGGCGATGCTGCTTTTTGAGTTGAAACAATGTTCCAGGAGACAATTACATTATAACTTATGTGTGTAATTATGTGCACAAAGCAGTTTTGGTAAACACACAAGACAACATATTTAATAATTATCAAAACACAACTGAAAGGAGGTTATATGAATTTGGAGATGTCTGTGTTTACACCAAGTATAGAAGAAAAATCCTGCCAAAAAAGCCATTAAAAATAGCATGATGCTACTGTAACTGATCAATCAGAAACCTTTCCATCCAACTATACACAGAATAAGAGTTTACCTTTTCTCCAACAGAGCCAGGGTTTCCAATGCCACCGGGAGGTCCCTGAGGGCCGTCAGCTCCTGGGGGTCCTGAGGGGCCTCTGGGACCAGGTGGACCGGGTGGACCCTACAAACAAAGAGAGGTTAAGGTCTAATGAGTAAAGACACTTCCCCATGCAAACTGTATTTTATGTGATGTGTTAAATAATTACATTTTCTCTGCTTTATATACACTTACCATTTGACCAACGTCTCCAGTTTCACCTTTCTCGCCGGGGGGACCAGGCAAGCCCTGCGGAGTGTGGAGAGAGAAGGTTTAATTATACTGCCTCACTCAATGTTAACAATGAGCATACATGAAATGTTTCATTGCAGTCCACACCTGCAGACCAACTGGACCTGGAGGTCCGGGGAATCCTCTGGATCCTTCATCTCCCTTCTGGCCAAACAGACCCTGCTGACCTCTGGGACCGGGCTCTCCATCCGCACCCTGCACAACGAGACGGATGAAAACAGTCAGGAGGTATAAGGGTTGCAGATGCAGTAGTTGAGGCCCTAACTGATCTGAACAACAACTGCAAACTATTGTTGAACAGGAAAGGTAATTATGGTGTATTTTGAAGTTGCATCACTGTCCGACACAGGGGCAATGTTTCTCTTTGGAGGCCTCTGATTTGACTCACTGCATGCACTATGGGCATATCTTCTCTCTCGTATGAATGATTAAAAGATAAGTGCTCTTGCTGAAAGTGTTCATCTTAATTCAGAGATTAAGAGTGTTTCCAGTTCTCTTAAGTTAAAACAGTAACTAGAGTTGTTTTCCATATACTGTCATTTATGTCACTTATTTACAATTCCATTACTTTTCCTGTTTTGTTGTGTTTTTGCCAAGCTATTATATTGAAGTACTTACAGCTGGACCGGGTGCTCCAACAGGTCCTTGAGGGCCGGTGGGACCAGGTGGACCCTGCAGAGGCGAAGGAACACATTAAAGACACACTCTCCACAACTAGACATGAATTCCAAGTAAAAATGGATCAGACGTAAAATCCCAGGAAGTAAATTGAATAATAAACAATGTATTTACAAGTTCTGGAACAACTTACATGCTCTCCTTTGTCACCCTTGCCTCCTTTCTGGCCGGACTCTCCAAGCTCTCCCTGTGAAATGACATGATCACAGTGTGAAACGAAGGCGGATAAACTTTACCTAAGGTAACACACAAGTGACAAGAAGATTCAAAAAGTGACAATTACTGTATGTTGAATTATCATCAAACACTCCCCAGAACAGAAACAGATAAATAAATACTAACCTACACTCATTATACCCCACCTGTTCATCTTTTATTTAGAAATCTGTCTATGGATATTTTAATTACATCTCTGTTTCTCTGACAAATATAGTTCACATCTGAAGAGGTGCTTATCACGATGGCGCCACTAGAAGCCAGAACAGAATAGATCATTAGTCCCATCTAAACCTGGAGTGAAGAACTTTACAGCACTCTTTCAAAGCCTCCACATGCTGTGGGTGTTTGGAGAAGTAATGTTAATATCTGCCAAAGTCAAAGGCATTCACTTTTGGTTTGTGAGTCAGACAATGCTCTCAGTATTAGTCTTAAAACAAAGGCTTTGGAGTTGTCCGTTCCCGGTAGACAGGACTGATAATGAGAAAGTGTGTAAACAGTAGCTCGCAAGATCCTTTTTATCTACATGGCAAACACCCTCTATCTGTGTCCGTCCACACCGTGAGGACTGGTGTAAGGTCAGGTAACAACTGAGGCATTCTTCAAAGGATAAGAGATGATCCTCTGAGTCTCTCTGTGGCTCATTTTCCTGCAAATGTTTTTGGAGGGGATAAGGAGTCGTCCTCACTTCTGAATACTAAAGGGTCACTTTCACAAATGCAGTCATTGCTACAAAATGCCCCTCTCCTCTGTCTTTGTTTTGTTTGGAGAGAAGTACAAAGCTGCAACAAGGCAGCATCGCCTTTTTAAAGATCCGCTGATCGATGCAAACCCTGTCAGACAAATTCCCATTAAAGCGTTTAAGGTCACAGGGATGGAGACAAGAAGATACCTGGCTCAGTTTCTTTGTAAGGTGGGTAGGGCACACACAAACACACACAGCTTTCTGGATGTTATCATATTTCTCTTGAAGTTGATGGCAAAACAAGTAACCCACCTTGTCTCCGTCCTCTCCGGGGGGTCCAGGAGGTCCTCCAGGGCCGGGCAGACCCACAGGTCCCTGAATACCATCTCTTCCAGCTGGGCCTTGAGGTCCTTTCTCTCCCTAAATATATAAGAGTGTTAAGACATGCTTCATCTGTAAAATGTAACTACTTTCGTTTTCGTAATGTCGAGAACTAATTGGAATAAACTATATTTTCGTCATTTCAGGACCTTTTTATGCATCTGATATGATGATAATACAACTGCTTTTCAACTCATTGTTGAAGAAAACTCATGTTCTTGAACCAAACTTCCTAATTGAATGCCAAATACTCTGTACTGTAGTTCATTTATACACACATTTATGTAAACAAACATACAAGTAAACAATATCCTACATATCACGCTAAGATAAAATGATTAAGTTCATGTCTTAGTATAGTATTTAATGTGGCCTGTATTTTGCAGCAATCTCTTATATGTGAGGTTCTTACGGGTCCTCCTTTCTCTCCGGAAGGCCCCGGGGGTCCCTGGGGTCCGGAACGTCCAGGCAGACCTGTAGGTCCGGCTGGGCCAGCAGGGCCGCGCTCACCAGGAGAACCCTACCAGAAAATATGAAATACATCAGAAAATATCTTAGACAACCAGGAGTCTAAGCATCAGACACGTATAGGTGAGGACTCCATTATGTAAGAAGCTGCATGATTTGATATTATGTAAGAGCCTGGAACAACTGAGGGTGGGAACTTTGTCATGAAGACAACTCCCAGAGACAGAATATGGAAGGTGAGGGATGAGAGTGACAAACGGAGGATGCAGATGCAGTAAATTGTACTCACAGCGGGTCCAGGTGGGCCATGGGGTCCTTCGCTTCCTTTCAGGCCGTGAGCCCCCTGCAGAACCAAATAAAGTGAAGGCTTCAGAAAACAAACACATCTGTTAGGGAAGCACACATGCTGCCTCACACTGGACGCCCTATCTTCAAACAGGCTCAGCGTGAGGTGGAAAACCTCCTATAGTCCCCAAAGTGGAGACGAGTTGTTTACTACAACTGCTGCGAACATCTTTTATATTTCACAGGAACAGGTGGGACGCATCATTTTCTTCATCCTACAAATAAAAGACTGCTCTGGCCATGGATTTCTTTCTAACAAGTTGGCTGTAGGAAGATTGTGTGAATTGCATAACAACCAGGACTTTGTTGAGTTAGAATAGATATAACAAATTAAAGAAGTAAACAGCCTGGAGCACACTGTTCCTCTTCTGTAGCCCACTCAGAGATGTGATATCATGTCTGATTCTTCAAGTTAACCACAGTCTCACGGCGACTTAATAGCCCAGAACTATTATGCAATAACCAAGCTGTGAGAGGTATTGGAATCGTGGGATGCTTTTGTGCTGAGCAGAGGAGAATACTCACCACAGGGCCGGGCAGACCTCTCTCTCCGGGGAAACCTCTGAGTCCAGGAGGGCCATCCTTACCGACTGGGCCAGCAGGACCGGGGTCACCCTGTGGAGGAGAGCACAATGAATGTAATACTGTATTATGCAGTGTTTGAGTATTATATCAGTTTTATTCATTAAAACTCAAGACATAATGCATCTATGCAAAATGAGAAACCCTGATAAGCTATTTTAAACTTGAGAATAGAGGCCCAGATGCTAAACAGGTGGTATTTAAATGGTAATTAAAATGTATGTTAACTAACACGCTGTCCTAATAAAGAAAATGCATATATTATACAGTCACATTTACAACCTACAAAACATCTACAGTAAGACTAACACAAGTTACCCTATCCCCCACTAACACATACTAAATACACCCAAACAATGTATTAATTGTGTGATTGTCCGTTCAAAATGACATTACAATTAGTGTGGAAAAAACAAACAGATTGGTTTTGGAACCAATGATAGGTATGATTAGGTGCTACAAAATATCTGATTTTAAACACTTTCAGGATTTACCTTGGCTCCTTCCTTTCCTGCAGATCCAGGTAGACCCTGCTCACCAGGTGGGCCTGGGGGTCCAGGATGACCGCGATCTCCCATTGGTCCAGTCTCACCTGTTGGTCCCTATAATAAAAAGAAAAGTTTTAATCAGAGACACTACAGCTTTTAATCCTAGTTAAAGAGGAGGTGTGAAGCAGAGAAACTACAGCTAGAGGAACACTGTGAGACAAATCAGCAATTCAGTATACACAAAAGATCTTACAATTTCTCCATTTATTACAAAACACGGCGTGGAGAAGCGGAGCATTTGCTGTGTGGGAGGCCTACTTGTCATTAAGGCCACATACAGCTCCGTTATCATCAATGTTCTCAGCTGGCATTAGCAGAGAGGCTGGGAGGGAAAGTCTGTTAAAAGCTACTGAATAATGGATGAAGAGCCCGTTGCTAATATGAAAGAGGATACACAACAATTAAGTTATGTGCAATAAGGACAAATTGTTGTTCTTTTGGTCTGAAAAACTGCTTAAACCTCACTGTTTAAACACTTGCATAAACTCAGAATATTAGGCTTGCAAAGGAATGCTACTTATCTGTGCAAGTCTAAAGGGTATTCAATTGTGAGGTTTAGCAAAAATGCATGTGTTAGGGAAATGCTAACCATGCGACTGAATAAATCTGAGTGGAAAAAGCTGCAAGAAAAGTTTGTAAAATTATGTTTTGATATAGTTTTGCGGCTGCTTTTGCATTCCGAGTTCACCGTTTCTGAAAGTTTTCTTAAAGTTTTCTTAAAGGTCATTTTGTGGGTGAAGTATATATTCCATTATGTTTTATAACGAGTTTCTGAACAGCTGTTTTAACATAAAAACAGATACATATTTGCTATTATTCTGCCACCGTAAGAAGATTTGTCTCCGCACAAAATAATACAATACTGATAGTACATGTAAGGAAGCAACACAATGGTTAGTGACTGTGACTCACCTGAGGTCCAACCACACCTGGGGGGCCAGGAGGGCCAGTCTTGCCTTGGAATCCCTGTTTATTATAGAAGAGAAACAGAGTTACATCCCATATGTCTGACTCTGGTTGAATACAGATGAAGAGCAGAGTAACAGATGACTTACAGTCTCTCCTCTCTGTCCAGGATGTCCGGGCAGTCCGTCTTTTCCTGCGGGTCCCTGAGAAATACAAACAAATATATGAATGTAAATCTAAGAGAGACAAAAGGACAAGGTATAATGGGTTTGTATGCATGGTGGTGTGTGGTGTATGAGTTTGGACTTACAGGAGGGCCCTTTGGTCCTGGGAAACCTGTTGGTCCCTGAGGCCCTGGCAGACCCTGAAACAGACGACAAATGACTCCTGGTCAATAATCAGTTGACTCTTCATGTTATGAGACTAAAGTTACCCTGGATTACAATGGGAAATAGGAAATGGGAAACAACATTCACAGCACGTCTTTATTGAACTAAATATGCAGCTTTAGTCCATATCTGTTGGCGTTCAGACGTTCAAAAACAACATTTATTCTGAGGTGAAAAAACGGTTTCATTTCCTGCAGCCACACACAAAGGGAGGCATGCACCTGTAGGCGTACTAATAGACATTCAAAACTTCATTTCTCTTCAAAGCTCAAAACAGGCTTCAAAACTATAATACAACTGACATTCAGTACAGCCCTTTCCCACTGACAGAGACAGGGCTGTGTATGAATGTCGGCCTGTGAGGAGATATATGCTACATTTACAATAGTAAAAGTATTTGGACTAGAAAAACAGACTCCATGTTTAAATGTCTTATTGTCTTAATATCGTCACTTGTAACAATGGAATATTATGACATTTTTAAAAGGAAGTGTAGTGTGATGAACTTACCCTCTCGCCAAGAGGTCCTGGTGGGCCGTCATTTCCTGAGGTACCCTGAAGAGACAAAATAAAGAGTTAGTGGTGAACTTGTACTACAGTGTTTGCAAGAAAGAGTCAGAGAAATATTTGACGCACCTTTGGTCCATTCTTTCCTGTTGGTCCCCTTGGTCCTCTCTCTCCTCGAGGCCCCTTGTGAAAAAAACAAAGGTGATTAAAATCATAAAAAGGGTCCTACGACTTATTAGTGACATGAAATTGGTTGTTCACATTTAATGGTTCCTTATTATACTATTTTTCAACAATATATTAAAAGTATATAGATGTATACAAAACATGTCTCTGAAGTGTTTGGCTGAAACACCAAACAGATCATTGCAGCATCCCATAATACCCTCCGTTTCAGCCCTGTTTCAAAAGTGCTGATTCTGTGTCTGTAGCTTTAAATGCTAATGAGCTGCTGCTGGCCACGCCCCTCTGAGAAGTGATTGGTTAAAAGAAACACAATGGTGCTCTAGGGGGAGATTCAGGTGATAAGGTTACCTTGGTTGGTTATTGGCTAATGGTTGCCGAACCCAAAATACAGTTGTGACATCACAAAGTGGCCAAATCTGATCAGCTCAATTTCAGGTAGGATTTAGATATAAACGGATCAGGACAAAAGAGAGAGAATCTTTTTTCCTGAAACTTTCCGTGTTTCTAAACACACTGGCTACACATATTTATTTATAAAAGACATGAAAAAGTGGATTTTGCGTAATATGTGAAATCTGGGTGGATTTCTCTTAAGCCTGCCCAGGTTGAACTTCCCTTTTCTCTCAGGTGCCAAAGCCTGCCATCTGTATACAAGCAGGAGTCTGCTGAGTAAGACTTACCGTTGGTCCCCTCTGTCCGCGTGGGCCAGACTTCCCTGCCAATCCCTGTGGACACGCAGAACACACACAACGATCAAAGGAGTCCCATCATTAGGAGGCTGCATCCTCAAGAAGAATAAATCCAACCCCAGCAGACGGTAACATTTGCAAACAGATTTCAACAGATTTGTGCAATTTCAGAAGCTCAGATATTATCATTAAGTTTAAAAATTACCATAGAAATTCCTTTCAACTTCAGAAAAGTACATTTTATTCAACACTAATGCACAATTATAATCATTGCAATGACAGCAGCTGCATACAACTTTAATGAGAAAAACAATGATATCTTTAAAGTTTCTATAAAGTGCTGTGAAAAAAATGTTAATGGAACTATTATCCCGTTCTGTCCGGGAGCGCGGTCTCATAAACTTCACAAATGTTTTGTGAAGATGAAAAGCTTTGGCACGCTCCGCTTGTGGGGGCAAACCATTACTCTTGCAGGCAAGCTAATGGCCCATCCCTTCGACAAAGAAAATGAAACATTGCTCAAGCGCCGCACAGTAATAAACAATGCTTTCTGTGGTTGGAAATGAGTTGTGTAAGTGGTAAAGAAGAAGGAATGCAATTGTCTTTCTGCCCTTGGTAAAAAAAATCTTTATGTTAGAGCATTGCAACTTACTCCGGATTGATAGCTCTGGAGCCGGGACAGGAGCCTGTCTCCAGCCCTACGCCAGTATTGATCCAACCCTTGTACGAATTAGAAGAATAATAAAAAGCTATTTGACATACCCGAGCTCCTTTCTCTCCATTGGCTCCTGGGAATCCTTGGAAACCTTGAGATCCCTAAGTGAGAGAAAACAAGTAATTAATCATTTGAGAGACAAACCTTAAATATTATATCCCTTGTTTATTCCCTGATATATCCCGGGCATATTAATCGCAACAGGAGGTGGGGTGCACAATAAATCACAGCAGTGTTTTATTGATGTCATATCAGGAGCAGAGCGCTGAGACCAAAAGGCATATTCAAATCCCTGTGTGTTTGATCAGAGAGCTTCAAGCCTGTCAGAATAAAGGACGAGCCGTCAACAGTTCAGCGGAGCAGACACACATGGACACGTATGAATCTTTCATTCCCTTCCGACATTCGGGTATAGTGACATTTTACATTGTGTCCCTTCTCATTAGTGTTTTAAAGTTACAGTTAACTCATAACGGTGAACTAATGACAATATCTTTGAGGAATACATGTGTGTTATTACCTTTGGTCCTTGTCTTCCTGGGTATCCGGGGAGTCCGGGAACTCCGAGTTTACCCTGGGAATGAGAAAGAAAAACATATGATTTTAGATAACTTGAAAAACATTAAGCATTGCATATTTGATAAGTTGTGGGATTCATTAGAAAGCTCCGTCTCTTTTTCTGTTATTTTATGAAATGGTACAGGGTGGTGCATTATGTCTAATAGTTGATTCTTGTGATGCAAATATGAATTAATAAATGTACTATTATATATTTTAATTAAATACTGCTATAATTATAATATTAAATAATGTGTTATATTTTAATTGTCTGTTTTTTTGTACATTTATATTTCTGTGGATATTTCTATTTTTCTTTATTTTTTAATATTTATAAAAACCTTTTTTTATAATAGTTCTCCTTTTTTACAACTTATTTGTACTTACTGTGATTTATGCAACAGTTTATACCAAAACAATATTCTTATATGTGTAAAACTACTTGGTAATCAACCTGTTTCTGATTCTGAAACTAGATATATATATCTATATATATACCTGTATATGACATTTGATATGAATGTGACCTTTTTCTTGAAATACTTTTCATTTTTTATGGTTTATCAGTTATGCAAACTAAAACCATCATTAGTAGTATTTCTATTCACTGTTGTTCTGATAAACCAGCATACTAAATGCAAAGCAAACAGACTGCAATATATTACAAATGCACAGCTTTGACTGTAAGTACAATAGTAGTGTTATCCTATAAACCACATTAAGATATTTGACCTAATTTTATTTAGTACGTTTTTAGTATTTGAAATGTAGTATTTTACTTGAATGTGCAATATGACTTGTCACTGTCACAGGCTCCTACCTATTCTCTACTGGGGCACTGTAATACGTTACTCTAAAACCTTGTATACATCTTTGTATATTGAGCTATTGTATATTGTATATTGCATACTTTTATTTAAGATGTATAGTATTATCTGTATTGTAATTTTGGAGCAACCTGGCAAAAAGAATTTCCTTCGGGATTAATAAAGTTCTATCTAATCTAATCTAACGATAAGAACACCTGCTAACATAGCAGCCTGTAATAGAGCCTGCTCAGTGTTTGAATGTTGCCTGCTGTGCACACTCCAATCAAATATGCAAATGACTCTGCTGTGAAACTCGTGTTAGATGCAGTGTTAGCCACCATAATGAAAATTCAATTCAGATTAGGAACAAGCACTCTAGGCTTTAAGGACAATAAACACATGATTGTAGTAACTGTTGAACCATAAAACTTCGGCTAATGACTTTCTGAATCAGATTGTGTAGGAGTTTGTTGGCAGAGTCTCGTTGGTGCTCCACTGTTCAAGCTCATTTTAAGGCTTTAGCAAAAGAAGAGGCTGCACCCTCCAGAGAAAAATTACAATGTATTTATTATTTGACCAAATACTTGTCTGAGGTATTGTCAGCAACACATACTCAGTGTTCAATTTAACAATAAGAATAGGAGCTGAATCCATTGTATGCTCCTTTCTGATCTGTTCAGAAGAGAACGATCAGAATAACTATTTTCCTTGTTTAGCCTTGCTGAGATATCCTTCTAGATCAAACATGACTGATGATACAAACGACTACGTGTTTTTGATCAGGCAGTGACACATTAAAGCATCGAGACAGGTTCTGAGGGATATCACAGTCCTGGTTTTGGAAGTCAAACTGAAGACCTTACCTTCTCACCAGATGGGCCGAGAGGACCAGAATCTCCTAAGAGACCTGAGCGACCCTTGGGACCCTCAGGACCGTCCTCTCCTCTGGGTCCTCCTGGGCCGAGCTCTCCCTGGAAAATACAGCAAGTGCAAAAGCAAAAATATTACATTTACATGACTTAAATATTCAATCAGTTTCACCATAATCAGAATAGATTATTTTTCTAGGGGAAATTGGTTTACAGTTGCTCAATTTAAGAATTAAAAAATAATAAGAATAAATAAGAATATACATAAATAAATAGATAGATAAATTAACATATATAATAAATAAATTAAAAAATGTATATAATATATATTTTAAAAAGAAATGTTAAAGTAAAATTATGAAATTAAAAATATAAAAAATAGGTATGGTTTAAGTCTAAACACATACTTTAAAATACTTAAATGTTATCTTGTAATGTATTCATTGATATTTATTTCCTATATTCTATTTATGAAAAACTGTAACGGTTTGAAAGCAATTAGAAAAGAAAATATTTAATAATGGCATTTTTTATTTATTTATTTTAATATTTAAATCACTGCCTTGACTAGAACTTTTTCTCTATCCTGCCTTTTGCGTGTGCACTGTTAATCAATCATGCTCAGTAACCTTTCTTCCAAAAATGAATACATATGGAGACATACTTGAGAAACCTGACTTTTATTATGTCATTAACAGTATTGTCATACTTTTATATGAAAGTATAATTTGTATTATAAGGGCAACTTTTCATTTTAAAACAAACAAGTCTATCCCAGATATAACCCAGGTCTTCGTTTTAAAACTCCTGGGAGAGTATAGTCGAGGATTGTTCCTTGCTGCCTGCCTCTAAAAGCATTTAGCCACCCTATTATCCTCACTCTATAAACCTGCTCCCCTTATAGCAGGACACCCGCTAAATAACAAAGCACAAACTGGCTCTGACAACCAGTCGCTGCTGCGGAGACCCAGTGGTGTGTGAAAGGTATCCAGTTAAAGCCTGGTGGGAAGTTGCACACACACTACTGCACTCAAGTACACATAAAACGACATCAAGCAAACTGTACTTGACTCACACTTGTAAGCTCATCAAAGAGAACACTTTGAATTGAACACACACACACACTTTCCATAGGCATGCTTTAAAATAAGCCATTTAGATTCTGGTCCATGTGTATCTCCTCTAGAATAGAGTGCCTTCTCAAATCCTTGCTTTCATCTGGATCTGCTACATCTCCAGATTAAAACAGGCTAGAGCCCCGAGTCCCTTTTGCAGGTTTGAAGATTTAGAGTGCCATTGATTTCTCCTTCCTCTCTATGCTCAGTTATAAAGCCTGGTCAGGGATTGTGGGGATTGATGTTTGAAGTTTAGTCGGAGCCATTCATGTTTCTCACTGAGACTGTTTCCCGACTACTTGACATTGTAAATCTCTAATGCAGTTTGGAGGAGGAAACCGTTCCTATGTACACCTTTCAAATGTGTGCTTTTCTCTAAAAGCTGCCGAGGTGAAGACTTATTTGAAAGAGGTGATAGAAGTGGAATTGGAAACTGCTCACGTAAACACACTGGCTAACAGCTGGCAATGGGAGCAACACCTTATGTTTGCTCATTACCCACAATTCCACAGGAGTCACAGAGGCTTAGGCCGTGAGGGGCTACAAATCCCATGGGGTGTTTTCACTCAGGTAAAGGTGACCCCAAACAAAACTAAACCCAGGAAACAACGTAGAGTGCTGAAGTTACATTAGTGTCATTAATTTGATGTAGCAATACACTATTTTGTACTTGAAGTAGATGTTAAAGGGCCCCTATTTGCTCATTTTCAGGTTGATATTTGTATGTTATGCCTCTAATTTGTCTGCTTTGATTAGTTAGCTTGCCAGCTCTGTTGTGATTAGTCAACTGCTTAGAGATGTCCCGCCCCTTAGCCTATCATGTACAATGTGTTGCAGCGCCAGCTAATAGAAGCAAGATTTACATAACGATGACACTATATTATGGAAGTAATCAAAGGAGTCCAATGAAGAGAAAACTCATTGGGATTTTAGCCTTTGCAGACCATTAACATGCACAAAAACCTATATAACTAGAAGAAAGGGAAAACCACCAAAATGCATAATAGGGCCCCTTTACAATGACACTATACAAAACACCAGACACGTTTTCACTATGCAATCCTCCCTGCCTCTGTGTAGCCAGCAACCTTTCACAATAAAAGCCCTGGATAAGAATATAACATCCACGTTGACATAGGAATAATTTCTTGATTGTTTCTTAATTTGCATGGTCCACAAACTAGTAGATCAATCTACTTGTTTATATAGAAATCAACAGACATATGTCATCAATGCCTCTGTTTGTAGTTTGTTTCAGTACTAATGCAGTGTGTTCTGTGTGGTTTGTAGCTAGAGGCCAACAGAAAGCAATCTGATTGTCTTTGCAGTAGCGGCAACAACACAAATACCACTTGGTAACACTAGAACTGCCACTTTAATTCATTTGAATGATGCTTCCTACGCTCTAGAAGTGATTGACAGATACTGCTGAGTACATTACAAACAAGGAAGCCTTACCCTGTCGCCCTTGATTCCCAAATCTCCCTTGAGGCCGGGGAATCCATCTTCTCCCTGGGTAAGAGAATGAAAGAGACGAATGGGTTAGGATGTAATAAATGGATGGGAAATAATGGGGTAATACAGGTGTTTCAACCATTTGTGTGGTAGTCATATGCAGACACACACTCAAAGACAAGCACACCAACACAGAGGCAGAGTCTTGGCAAGATCCCCTGTTGCCATAGAAACCGTTGATAGCCTTTATTTTCAACAGTTTCACAGGATTTCATTGAGATTACCATTAGTATGAAACACTCCTTGCAAGACTCACTACAAATGTATTATTCAAACATTTCTCTGACATCACCAGACTGTTTCTTTCACACAGACACTTTGCAAGACGTGAAGCCAATAAGTCTGAGCTCTCTTACCTTTCCACCCTTGTGTCCTTTCAGACCGCGGACACCGTCGGCTCCCTGTGATGCAAGAACAGAAAGATGTTACAGGTGGGAAAGGTGCATGTTAGACAAAATGCAAGGGTTCAATTGATTCAGGCTGCCATTGTGAATGAAAATGAGTTCTTAAGTTCTTGCCTGGTTCAATTAGTGTTAAGGAAATACAATGTAGACTAGCATTTAGTCCCACCATGAGCGAGGAAGATATTCACCAATGTGATGGTAACAGTTATTCTTTCTGAATCACAGCTGCTAAGTCATTGAAGTCTGACGCAAAGGATCTTTTTGTCTCTTGAATGTGTCAAACAAGGGTGCTATGAAGGGGGATATTATGTAATTGATGCATTGAGATGTGTTTTATGCATTACAAATACTCACTACTTTTCTTGACCCTTCATCTTATCTTCCCAGACACTTCAGACATCAGCCATGTAACTGTGGGACTTTTAGCTAAAAGTCAAGCCACTCTTGTGATCCCCTCTCTCAGCGGAGGAATAAATGATTGGATCAGTCCAAGCCAAGATTTTATTTGATGGGATTTCTTTTGTCTTGGTTTTTATCAGGCAGCTACTGATGAAGGGACGAGGGCCTTGAGCCGCCATCAGCCCTGTGACTAACCCTAGCAGCACCTTGTGCAAGCAAAGGGATGCAAGATCTGAAAAGATGACTTTCAAGTCTTATCCTTTGCATTATCACGACCTGTTTGACAAAAGCAGAGGCCATTCTATTCTAGACATTGCCTGGAAGATAAGCAGTAAACTAGGGCTTTTCATTTTTTAGCAGCTTTCTACAAAATCACACTAAATTGTTGGAAAACCTTGGAAGTTATAACGTTCTGTTTTTCTCAGAAAGGTTTCTATAAGATAATAGGCAACATTAGGCCCATAACCGTTGTTAATTGCCGGGCAGAATTACCTGATGATATTACAAAGGATTTTATTAGTGGTTGAAATTCATCTCACCTTCACACCTCGGGGCCCGGGATAACCAAGGGGTCCTTGAGGGCCAGCAGGGCCCTGCGGAGAGAGAGGGTTAGAAAGAGCTTGTAGCAAACATGCGCATGCAGTACACACATTAAGTTATCAACATTAATGCTGAATGTTTTATGTAGATTATTAATTAATTATTTATGTAAAACCAATGCAAGCTACTAAAGAAAATCACTTACCAGGTGTCCTTTCTCTCCGTTAGGCCCTTCCTTTCCCGGGTGACCCTGTGAATTATTTACAAAGCACATTATTGCATCTCATATTGGATAATTACCACCATAAATACATATACACATTAGTTATCACTATAAAAGAAGGGTAACGGTGTAAAGCTTTGCAGGATGTATGAAACTGATAACTACCTCATCTGGGACTTAGTTGGGAAGTGTTATTAGCACTACCGGTTATTACTGGGCACTAAAAGCCAACAATTGCCGTTTTGGGATTTCAAATAATATGAAGCACATACTGTACACTCATGTGTGGATGTCCGGTAAAAAGAAGAAGAGGAAAAATGGAAGGAAATTGATTGTATTCACACGAGACAGAAAGGCTCTGCAAAGCCTCAGAAGGCTCTGCAGTGACGTTATAGAGGGCGGGGAAGGGAATAGAGAGGACATAAAGAAGGGGCATGGAGGGAGCATTGAAACGGAGTGAGAGAATACTGCGGTTGATTCAAGATGCAACAAATGGAGGAATACAAAAAGCTGAGTGTGTAAATGGCCGAGCTATTTCCACTCCAAAAAGACTCTGAAAGCCATTAAAGGGCCAGGGGACATTGTAAAGGGTCTGCAGTCCAACGTCTCCTCTTACTCTCCTTCACCAAATCCCTATCTATTTGTCTTTAGTTATTCATATTTCACAGCCTCTCTTTTTGGTGCCACCGAATGCCTTTGAGACACACCGGCCATTAGTGCAGGTGTGTCTGTGCTGCCTGAGCAAAGATGGGAAGAGAGTGAGTGTGGGCGGGTTGTATCACACACGTCTCAGAACAATCATTATCTCAGTGTGTTTTGAGAGCTTTTTAAACATGTACTGCTTTGAATGTGTTGATTCTTACAGTTATGGCAATTGTAAATGATAAAAAAAAAAGGCAGAGATGTTTGGACTCACCGGTGGGCCGTCAGCTCCTGGCATTCCTGGCAAGCCTGGTTTTCCAAAAGGTCCCTAATAAGAAGACAGGAGAAACCTTTAGGGCAGGGAGACACCACAGAGTAACACAACACCAAGAAAACAAAAGGTTAGAGGCATTATAAAAGTCTGAAAAGAACCAGACTGAGTTCCACAGTCTGTGAGGCTGTATTAGAGTGTTGTAGTGAGCTAAATGCTAATGTCAACATGCTAACAAAATGATTACTTCATAAACAACCCTTTATTCAATTCTAGTTTTGTCTCATCAAATACTACCGCCTTCCAGTATTTCATTTATAATCAGAAAATACCTACAGGCAAATATGATTTAGCTGAAATTGGATTAAAAATATATCAGGATTCAAAATCTGTGTGCGCTGTCAATTCGGCACTATTTGGTCCTACATTGAGGATCGGGTGGGGGGGGGGGGGGGGGGTCGCATTTGCATAATAGTGTGATAAGCATTTTGGAACTGAATAACTTGGCATTCAGCTCCATGTAAATGAATGACACCAATTCATGCAATTTTGTAGATTTGGATGCTGTGTTTATTGACATTTTATCCAGCTGGCAGTCAATATTCCGCTGCAGAAATGGCATGTTACTGTACACAAAATGTGATTGTTCTATAGTGATTACGTCATACAGTATCTTACCTTGTCTCCTGGGGGTCCGATGGCTCCTTGGGGCCCTGCAAGACCCTGTGGAGAGGACACAAAGTGCTCAGAACATTTGATGTTATGAATAAGAGAAAACTCGAGTGGCAGACAACCTGTTCGTCACTAACCATGGTTCCTGGGTTTCCTTGCTGTCCAGGAGGTCCTGGTTCTCCTTGAGGTCCCTGAAGAAAACAACGATCATTTTAGAAATCTCATTACAAACACAAAGATTGATTCATTTTTTTTCTTCTCCCATGTGACGGTAAGAGTGATTTGTTGCTCCATATGGTTCATTAAAAGGGGAAATGCTGCTTTCGGCTGATATAAATCAGAAGCTGTCCAGCAGTGCATCAGAGCATTATTACCCTCTTATAACTAAACAGCAGCTCACACCTGCATTCCCAAATGACAGACACTGCTGAACACAAACACAAGACACATTCCCGCTCAGATAAATGGCAATCAATTATGTTAGGTCTGGGAAAGCTGTGGATGCTCCATCTCCAGCTAGTTGGAACATTCCCAGGACAGACGAGCTGCTCCGCCTGGTGTTCTCTCATTAAGTCTGCCGCTAAAATAAATTGACCCGGGATGATACAAGTGGTCGGGGTAGACTGCTCAAATGGATCCAAACACACCCGGCCTATTCTTCATTATCTGCTGAGTATCCTCTGATTGCACTGGTGTGTGTGAGTTAGTGAGAACGAAAGAGAAAAACAACAATCATTTCCGAACGTGTTTGTATAGAGGCATGTTGTAATTCGCCTTAGTTGTATATGTATGTCAATACGTAAGTGTATTTGGAATCAAGAGAGAGAGGGGAACCAATGATGGGGATTTAAGGATGAATATGAGGAAATATGTAAGATGGTAAACATTTAGACTTTGTGACAGTTGTGTGCTGGGATGAAAGGAAGATATAAGATGTACAAAGTGTATCACAGCTGATCTGGATACCAACATCTTTCCATTAGAGACTTAAAATACAAATGTCAAGTCGCAAAGAAGTGAGAGCATTATTTACATTTAAAAGAACTAAAAAGATGTGTGTAATGATGCATTGAGAATATTTGATATTTGGGGTATGTGTGTAAGGTAGTGATCTCAGTATGTTTAATTGCTATTTTAAGAACGTGATGATGATTATCAGAATGACATCATGAATTACAAATACTTTCATGACATGAGTTTTTCAAGTCATTTCATGCCTAATCGTGTGTGTGTTGTGTGTTGTGGCTTTACCTGGGAAATAGAGAATGCCTGACACTAAATATTTGCAATCGATTTCATTTCACTTACAATGTTTCCTTTGGGTCCAGGTTGTCCATCCATCCCAGTAACACCCTGCAGCAGAGGAGAGGAAAACGCCATTCAGTCAAATATATGGGAAGGCCAGAATATTTGTTTTATACGGAAAAGGTTTGTATTTTGGGTGCACTTTCAGCTGATAAAACGTACTTTAAGTCAGAAAATAAAAACAATGCAATCTCCAAATATAAAACAAACACCGTAGATTTGCTTTTGCACTCTATGAATTTGAGAGTAAACTTTTAAATGTTAGATTTCTACATCAGCTACTTGATTGATGTGCACTGTCCATGCTAGATTAAATCTGTTGATACGATATATAAACATTAGGTTTGCTCCGCTGTACACATTTGTCTGATGTGCCGGCGTTAAACTCAATAACATATTCTGCTCTTTGTGTTCGCTGTCTGAAATATATTGAGTTTTGTATTTCCCTGTGGGTGTTTGCAGTGTCTTTTCTATAAGATGGTCAAATAATATATATTCTGCTTTCTCAACACTAAATCTATTGTAATAGCACGAATGTGAAAAGGGTACGGGGACTCACAGGGGGTCCAGAGGGTCCCTGAGGTCCTTTTGGTCCGAGCAAACCGCGGGGCCCCTAGGAGAAAAACAAGGAAGGAAATGAGATAGAGAATATCACACCTGTGAAGGAACTGATGAATTATTAAGCACGCTGAGCTAAATCAAATTTCAAAATCATACTTCGGGAAACAACCTGACTTCGCAAATGTCCTTGAGGATATTCTACCTCGTCAGATTGTGAGGGATGCTGAAAGCCCTTCTTTTTTTTTTACTTCACTACACATGTATTCCCCACAGCTCTCCTATCAAACATTGGATTTATGTTCTTTGCCTCCCAGCTACGGTTACCTAACAAGACCTATTTTCCTCTCAGTGTGAATTCAAACAAATGTAGCACACCCTGGTGGACGAAGTAAGTAATAGCAGCAGATATCAGGGGGCTTTCTGGTGTTTTCTCCTTCCCCTCCCTCCATGGGGAATATCCTGAGAGTGTGGGAGGCTATTATAACAAGCTTGATGTGAGCTGTCTGCTTTTCACACCTCCAAAGCCTCATCTACACACACTTTCCATCCGTATAGAGCTATAGAAAATCTCCATTTATATGAATATGAACAACGGTTGCAGTCCGCAGATGACAGATGACATCATTACGTCGTTTGATTGTTCGCTAACACAATGACATGATGAGAGCGGGCCCTCTCAGCTCTATCACGCTGTCTCTCAGTAATACGCGCGATCACTCACTGATTCGCCAGGAAGTCCCCGGGGCCCGATCTCTCCATCATCTCCCTGGGAAAGAGAGAGGAGCGGGTCAGAATGTGGAACAGACAGTGAATGATAATGGGAATAAAGTGAGGGTGTGTGTGTTACGAGGAGGGAAAGATAATGGGAAGTTACAAGGAGAAAAGGCGGGAAAGAAGGGGATTATGTTGCATCAGCCGGGGATAAGAGAGATACAAATATATATATGAAAGTAAAAGATTTAGTGATAAAAGATGTGGGAAATTGTACATTTTTGTCTGTCTTACCCTTTCTCCATCCTCTCCAGGACCACCATGAGGTCCAGAGGGTCCAGATTCACCCTACAACAACAAACACTTAGATGTAACAGTGGCACATGTCGAAACAAATACACACACACACACGTGCACTTCTTCCAAAAGAACACACTTTAATAGCACCACAAAAGAACTTACTCTGTGTCCTTTTTCACCAGGAAGTCCGGAAAGACCATCAAAGCCTCGGTCTCCCTGAAGAGCAAAGACAAGTCAGGTGCCATACGTCTTGTACAGGCTTCAAAAACACACTTTTAAACTGGCATCAGGAGATAGTGAAGTGTTGGGGACACAGTACCTTGGTTCCAGACTGTCCCGGCATGCCCCTGGCACCGTCGGCTCCAGAACGACCCTGTGAAAAGAACAACGGTTACATAACTGGTCTGTTGAAAGAGTATGAGGACTAGAATATGCCTTTTAAATCGGCACGACAAAATGTGCATTAGATATTCATATGCTGCGTGCTTTTCTACTTCAGCTCACCCTTCTGCCAGGCTTTCCAGAGGGTCCAGAGGTGCCCAAGGGTCCACGTGGTCCCTGAAACAGACACATTTATTTATAACTCAGAAGTGTTCAAATGTAAGGACTGTCACAATATCAGACTTTGATTGCACGATATTGATGGCAAACCACTTTAAGAAGAAATTCAAATATAGCATTATCTTTAGAAATTGTTTGATAAAAAGATCCAATTACTCTTCAATTTGTGTTTTGTCTCTGACATTTTTTAAAAGGTGCAATTACACAATATTATATATGTGTATTATCAAATAGATATTTTAAGTATTAATGCCAATATGTTTCCCAATTTGGGATCAAATCTTATCTTATCTTACATCCTTAAACCCCTTAAATCCTTAGAAATATCAAACTTAAAGAATAAAAGTTGCATTTGTATCTACTTAGAACTAATGCCATACCACAACAGTTTAAAAATGTGTTTAGGTTGACATGTTTTTGCATTTGTACATCTCATACCTGAACACCTGAGTCTCCAGACTCTCCCTTCAGGCCTGAGCCCCCGGGAGGACCCTGAGGAGAAAAGCAACAGACCATTTAATTGATATTAAACTCACACAAGTTTTCAACACTACAAAGCTACAAACTGTTGATTACTATTCATGATTTTGAGTCTGCGTTTGTCTCTGAAACACGTACCAGAGGGCCGGACCTGCCAGTCAAACCCATCGGACCTGTAGGGCCGCGCATAGCCAGCTGAACACAGAGAGGAAAAACAATGAGATACAAAATATATCAAAGGAATAAATAAAGGATAACAGAAGGAAAGCTGCAGTGTATGTATTTATAATGTGCAGTTACTCATTTGCATGTGTGTGCTGAAGTTATATTTGTGTCTGTCCCTTGTGAACAATGTTGTATAAATGATGCATGCTAGTAAGCAACCGCAGGGTATAAAATATATCAATGACATAACAAAAATGATAATAATGAAGGGGTAGCAAGGATTTATGCCATAACTATAGAAAAAAAAGAAATATGGCTAGAGAAAACATTATAAAATTCACAAACAACGTGAAAAGTAAGACATATTTCAACGGGAGAAGCAAGATTGGTGAATATACAATTTAGTATTGATAGATTATGTGTAATCAGTTACCCTAGCCTGCTGCATGATGGCTTGCATCTGGGACTCCTGTGCTGACACAGCAGGGCCCTTCTGTCCGGAGTCACCACCAGAACTCATTCTGAACTATGGAGGGAAACAAAGATGTGTTCGAATTTGTTGCATTACAAATATGAACCAGCACACAGTAGAATATAGCAAAACAAAAGTAAAAGCTGGTGAAAATAAGAAACAATGCAACAATATAACAATTTGATTCCCAAAAACAACACTTTTCTTTGTCCCCATCTTAAAACTATGCAACAGATGTGAAAGTGAGCATTAGCCTCCAGCTGTCAAGCCAGCACCAATAGAGGCCACAAGCTTCGAATTATACTGGCATCTGGTGGTGAAACGACGCCATTGCACCATAGTTGAATATCCAGGTTTGTGGTCCAATAATGGTTGGTTTGGGAAAGGCATCTCGTGCTGGGTTACACAGCAGAGTACGGAGGCTGTTAGTTTGCAGACGCACAGCAACACAACAGTGAATCTGTGCAGAAACACGGTAACCAAGAAGCAAGTAGAAACAGTTATTCAAAACAGTGCTGAGTCAGATGTACTGCAGCTCAGCCATCATGAACCAAATGTCTTCAGTTACTTTTCAAGTATTGAGCAAAGCCCACAGTTTATTGCTTTCTGTCAACATTTCTGCTGAGTTTGATTAAATATTGGCCCTTTCTTTCGCTATCTCAGTCACAATCAAATATATGCAGCTCTTTTCCTGCCTTCCAATCTGTGAGCATGTCTTATATTATTTTTCTCTTCAGCTTTTTTTTGTCAATCCCCTACTAATTTGCATTTCTTTTTCCCCGACATTCCTTTGCATCTTTGAGCCTTGAACAAAATGTTCTGCTACATCAAATTGTTGACTAGTGCAGCCAGGGATAGAGAAAAAACACTCCGATGGGAACCAAGTTATGTTTTTCACACAACACCACCTCATGCTGGAGCGGACTGTCAACAGGAAAATAAAAAAGAAGATGGATCACTATATAATGGACTGTTTAAGCAAGAACATATTGTTAGGACTTGTATCTTAAGTGTTGATTCCATGATTTGAACACGGAGCCAAACAGTTCTCTGGTGAGAAGAGGATGAAACAACAATGCATGACTCGGGTCTCAGGGATCAGGTTACAAGCTCTCTGCCAGTGGATACACCAGAACGAGTTCCTGTCCAGACAGAGCTCCCTCGGCTCTGAAGACCCCTGAAACCACAGCCTCACATCTGTACAACTCATCAGATCCAACAGCAGCAGCATCACACATCTTCCAAATACAAGGAAAACAAGGGGGAAAAGGTAGACAGCGCAGGAAGTTGTTAGCAGGATAAGTGTCGCGGTGGAATCATAGCACGCAGCTGAAGCTACAGAGAGAAGCAACAGCATGACTTTGCTTCCTGTCTGTATCCACACAACTTAATGGAAGGACATCTTCAATTCTTAAATAAGTTCAAACTAAATAAAAAGTCCTTTAATTTTTGCTGTAATTCGGCCCTTGATAGTGTTTATTTCACAGATGTCTATCTGTCAGGTTCAACTTGTATATATTTTACTCTTAAGTTCTGTTTTATTTTCTATTTGAGATGTTTCTATTTTATGTTTGTTTATTTTCTACTTTTTTATTTGCAATGCCTTGTTTTAACATCTTGCTGTTCCAAAAGAAATCCCAATTTGGGATCAATAAAGTATATCTTATCTCAATATGCAGATTTAAGTGTATTAAGTCAAAAGATCTGAACGTGATCACTACAGATGATGGGAGGGGCGACATCTGTTACTCAACCTGCCACTAGGGGCTGCTAAAGTACAGATTGCATTACAACATATTTGTAAGGGCCAGGCTAATCAAAGACGGTTTCTAAGGAAACCCCCTTCATTCCTCTGCACTGTGTAAACCACATGTCAGGGTTATTGATAAAACAGAGAATGATACATCATACTTGGCTTTGAACACGGCTAAACAACTCCATAAAGCCACATGGTGAATGCTTTAGAGTGGGGGTAAACATGAAAGCACACATCACTTCCTCTTCCTCCACGGTTATCTACTTACAGGCAGCATCAGGACAGTACCAGGGGGTCCGGGCAGACCATCAGCACCGGAAAGACCAGCACGACCAGTAGGACCCTTTGTCGGAAAAATGACACAAACATGAGTTCAAGCACTAAGACAGAAATATGGTTAGTTTCTGTATTGTAGAGCTTTATTTAACACACCCTCTCTCCAGAATCTCCAGAACTGCCTGGTTGGCCAGAAGAACCTGGGGGTCCGGGGAGGCCCTATGTCAAGAAAAAAAAACTAATTTCACACACATAATATACATAATGCATCACAAAGGAACAGGAACGTTTGCTGCACTAAAAGTCCTCCCCTTTATGTGGCAAAGTGGTCACACATGGGGAAAGGAATGCATGAGGCAATATGGGACAGCTTGTGGAGTTGTAAATTCTTCGTGAGGCGCTCTTTATTTGTCTATAGCTTGGCACTTGAATGGCTGGACTCTGTGGGTCTCCATCTGCAGGGTGTCAAGAGCAACTGTGTCTGAAAAAACTGTCCTGGATAAATAATTGAGTTCTTCCACATCTGGGCAAGTCCACTTCTCTTCAGGGGACTTGTGTTGGCCACTCCCTTTGCATTACATCAGACAGCCAGGATCTTCACAGCAAAGCATGAACACTTGCATTTTAGAAGAATGGATTGTGTAAGAAAATATTGGTAAACTGGAGTATTAGAATTGTTTTTGTGATTTGTTGGATTCACAAAAACACTGCATTCATTTGATATTAATAGTAAAACATATATTATATGTATCGTTGCCATGCTGTCTGTTTACATGGTTCATTTACTCAATTCTTTGCCTTTGATTCCTTCAAGACATTTTTCTCACTCATTTTATTTACATTATTTAGTGCTATAATGTTGGATTCAAGGGGCTCTGATTAATGCAAATGAAATCCCACAGATTTAATAAAAACATTCTACTTGTTGACTTAGATTGTATGCATATTATGGTGTTTTCTTTATTCTATGATAGTTTTCCTAAAATGACATACAATATATGTCCTTGCTTATAGTTTTGCAATGTATTTAATTGGTTACTTGGTTACCCCTGTATCGTGAAATGTACTGTGCCAGATTATTGCCAATACACAACGTCAGATACATTTATAAACAGAGATTACACAGACAAATGACATGATGAGGACAGGAATAGAAGATGAGAGGAAGTAAAGGAGAGACAGGTTGACTTACTGTTGGCCCTTCAGGCCCAGACGGGCCCTCCACTAACATTCCCTGAAACACAAGCAGAGAAATCATTAGTCAAGAGTCCCCGCAACAATCTCCTGTGTGTGCACTGTGCAGCGATCTGCAGGTGCACACACAGGCGTAATTCTGACTTCATTAACACAAAGCTGTGCTTAAACTCTACATGAATACATGTCCCAACACCTGCCTATCAACGTTCTACCTCTGGAGTCAACCTTGATGCACATTCCTGCCTGTCATTTCAGTTATGCTTTCCATTAATCCATGGAGTTAGGGAGAGTGAGCGACTGCACAGCATCGGAGCAAAGACACCCTAAGGTTCTGTCCAACGTGTTCAAGCTGAAGGAAGGACTAATGAAGAAGGCTTCATTACATATTTGATCTTACATGCAAATGAAAGCCTGTTTGTACATGTGTCTATGCTTTGAATTTGTGCAATTCATTTATTAAAGTGGGTATTTTGCCATATATCCCCTTAGCTAAACAAGCGAATCCTCATCATCGAGTCAGAGCAGGCGATGAATGGATGGTACGAACACACTAACTGTGACTATAGCAACATTTCATATTGTTGATCAAAAAAGATGTGATGAAAATGAATGAAACAAATTAAAAGAAAATCACCAAAATATCTTTATTTTGATGCAGTAGTTCGGTGATGCATACATATTGTGGCTAGATCAGAATCTGATATCTAATTTAATAAAACTAGAATAGAATAGTTACAGCTCTTTTTGACTAAGAGAATAATTCAATTTGACACAAGCCTAAATGTAATATAAAAGAATCTGAAAAACGAACATTAGTGTGGACAACCGTAGAGCGTCTGACTCACAGATGCATTGTTGCGGCTGAGTGGCTGCAGAGAAATTGTTTGTGTGTTTGCTTTTCTGGTAACATTTTGGCTTCCTGTTTATTTTTACAGAAGAGAGAAACCCACACACTATCCAAATGTATTCCACTGTGTGATGTTTTTCATTAACCCCCAGGCTGAACTGTAGAATTTTCATCCCAAAATTACTGCAATTGATCTTCGACAATCCTCAGGTTATGGCTATGTCTCACCTGCAGTGTGTGTGTGTGTGTGTGTGTGTGTGTGTGTGTGTGTGTGTGTGTGTGTGTGTGTGTGTGTGTGTGTGTGTGTGTGTGTGTGTGTGTGTGTGTGTGTGTGTGTGTGTGTGTGTGTGTGTTTGTGTGTGGCTAGAGCTTGGGGGGAAATGTGAATGCATGTTTACAAGAGGAGAGACACACTGGGTGGTGATGTGTACACACTCAGTCACAGAGGGATGTATACTGAGTGGAGCTCAGTGACATTTGTTTAAAGTGAAACAGCTGTAGCTGAATAAGAGACATACATTCCTTCTTATGGACCGAGCTAACAGACCGAAGGATGTGTCTTCACCTGTTTTTACATATAGCATTAACATCTAAATCAGGGTTGGATGTGCTCCACCTGTTTCATTCAAACTAAGCTTATGTTTTTGGCAGAGACGCAGGAAAAGTCTTTCTAACTCCCCTTTGTTCAGCTTGTATTCCTTCCCTCCCTCTGTTCCCCCCCCCCCCCGTGTTTACACACTTCCCAGACTCTGTTAGGAGATTATTGACAATCCCTACATGGCCGTTCTGCTGGTCATCTGAACCCCAGCATAAACATTTGGAGGAGCGATGCCTTGCCCGAGGACACTACGAGAAAGGCTTGGCCCTGATTGATGTTTGGCCTCAGGATCCTCCGTCAGAAGTGATGGGAGGGTTGTGTTTGGATGAGGATCATACATACGTACTGGCAAATATAAACATCCACGCATACGCCCGTGTGCACACAATCACAGGCAGCGTACATCTGCTGCTCAAGTATGTTGTTCAAATAGTGATACTCACAGGCTCAATAACAGCAGGCTCTCCCTTCTGTCCCTTCTCGCCACGGGCTCCGTGGACCTACACACCAAACACACACACACACACAATTAACATTCAAAAGGTCAGTAACTTGTCATAAAATATCGATTTTTTTTAATAAGACACAGGCGTGTTTATGTAATCTGAAGGAAATCTGAGTAAAGACCTCTTACTCAGAAATATTTATTGAGATTTTTGATCAATATTAACTAGTAATTTATATATAATGAGTTGGTAAAGGCAGATAATAGAACAGCTAGAATTGTCTGATTTAAGAAAACGCCTTATCACACTTTTTTGATATCCAAAATCTAGAACGATATATATGTTCATATCACATCACAATACCAATATATTATCGATTTATTGCCCAGCCCAAATTGAGAGTACCAAAAACAATTCTTATCGTGAATCTTTTTTTTTCATTTTGAATAAGAAGATGGCCCTAAATTGAGTACCACTTAGTCAGTATTCTTCACCTGTCCATAATCTGTCCCGGTCTCAGCAGGCAGCACTTTGCCCTCGTCGCCATAGTCGAGATCATCGTAGGTGCCGTACGAGTCTAAATCGCCGTATTCGCTGAGGTGCTCCTCCTTGAACCCATCCAGGTCTGTGTAGTCTCCCTCTCCTTCAACACCCAGGCCTGTTCCTGTGGCGATGGAGCCCCCTGCTCCGGTGCTGGCTGATCCCCCTCCGGTGGTGGAAGATCCCCCCGCAGAGGAAGACCCGCCCCCGATAGTGATGGTAGAACTGCTGCTGCTGCTGCTGCCTCCTCCATCTCCTGCACCTCCACTGACATGGACTGAACTGCTGCTGCTGCTGCCTCCTCCTCCATCTCCTGCACCTCCACTGACATGGACTGAACTGCTGCTGCCTCCTCCATCTCCTCCACCTCCACTGACATGGACTGAACTGCTGCTGCTGCCTCCTCCATCTCCTCCACCTGCACTGTCATGGACTGAACTGCTGCTGCTGCTGCCTCCTCCATCTCCACCACCTCCCTCCACGTGGACTGACACCTCCACCTCCAACGTGGACTGAACTGCTGCTGCTGCCTCCACCTCCACTGACATGGATGGTACTGGTGGTGTCACCTTCTGCACCAAGGCTATAAGCGTCATCGGTGCCATAATCATACTCATCACCATAGTCACCAACGGAAGTTGCAACCTATAAAAACACAGATATTGTTAGTAAAATGTCCCATATTTGAAGTATGGGTAACATCCTGTGTATACAAATGACATAACAAAATCAAAAACATTGATTACATTTCTGACCTATTAAAACAAATATGTAGCGTACAAAGGCCGCGCTAATTATTTGTGCATTAAAATGTCAGAAAATACTGAAAAATGCTGTATCTCAAGTCATGGGTGCTTTCTTTAAATGTGAAGTTTTCCAATAATATATGTCCTAAACTCAGCACATATACAAGTCATGTTTAAGAGATGGAACTACAAATCTAAATAGTATAGTAGTAGTAGCAGCAGTATGTCATAATTGTTTTATCATTACTGTGTACAATTTGTTCTCAAAACTGCAACGATTGAGATTTCCTTAAAGGCATTTTTTTCTTTTCTTAGTGATGGCAATGCTAGAAACATCCACATTGGCTTTGCTTCCCCCATTTGGATTGGCAGATGATAACATGAGGGAAGGGGCCCAAAGAACTGTAACTAAATAAATAATAGGAGTTGAAAGCTTATCAGTACATCTATTGGACCTACAGGTCATACATAAACAACGATAAAGTGAGGATGTCAGTGTAGGTAATCAACGTACTGATGTCTCATTGGCGGTCATGGTGATTGAAGATCCTTCTCCACCGGTGACCCGCCTTTCGATGCTGGAGGCTGAACTCAAGTCAATCTTTCCCCCTGCCTCCAGGTCCACCTCGCCCCCGGTGCCGGTGCTGCTGCTGGTGATGGTGACCCGTCGGGAGGAGTCTGTATCTGGGGCTGCCGTGGCCTCGTCGTAGTAGGTCTCGTAGTTACCGTAGCCATCGTAACTTTCGTAAGGGCTGGTCTCCTCTCCGTAGGCTTCTCCTCCGGCAGTGGCAGTTCCTGTGGAGCTGGATGAAGAGCCAGCGGATGAGCCAGCGGATGAGCTGCTGGTGATGGAGGTCACTTTGCCGCCGATGGCACCAGAATCCCTCAGAGCCTCCTCCACTTCAGACAACACGCTGTCTTCATCTGCCACCTGTAAGGCATCAACATGGTTACTTTGAAGGAGGACCCTTCTGACTGTACCCAATACTAGGAGTTCCCAGCTTCAAACATTTTTTTCACCTGACATCGTTTTGAAAGATAGTAATTCACAGTTACAGATGAATATAAGGCTAATTCAATTGATTAAGTATTATACTATTAGAATAATTGGATTCCAGCTGTGGCTGCATGGGACTGTTTCAGACTTGTGATACAAAACAATTGACATCAATCCATATGTGTTGCCATTTAGCATTTCAAAAGACAAACAAGCTTTCAAGCTTGCCTCACACAACTGAGTCAAGCAGCTGTATTAACAGGGCACACATTTCTTTAACCTAAATAACAAGAGAAAACTAAAGAAATCCCATTTTTGGATAGGGTTGTGACAAATCATCACTTTTGAAAACCTCCATATAAGCCTTGAATGTGATAAAAGATAACATGCAGCACAAAATGTGAAACAATACGACTGTATTGGCGTTAACACATGAAGTCAATATTGGCAATGATATGATGGTAGCCCACCTTGACTTCTTTTGTCGTCTCAGCATCAGATGTTGATTCAAGAGGCTTTCCCTCGGTGTCCTCATAGTAAGGGTACTCGTAATAGTAGCTGTCCTCCTCTGTGTTCTGAAAGAAAGAAACATTACAAGATAAATAACAATAACTATTCATATTAAACACTTGATTATTAGTATCTATGAGATACTTAGCATAGCATCTACTCTCTAAGGCAACATACATTTTAAAGATTTCTTTAAGATATGGAGTCCTTTAATTAGCTTATAAAAGTGTATGGATAACCCCAACCTTCTTACCTCTTTAAACTCTAGAAAATCATAAGCACATACTGTGTGTCTATGTATAGTTATTTTATAGCTGCAATTCATGCATTTGGTTAGTATCATATTTTTGATTTGTAAAGTCTGTGATGAATAATATGATATCACTGAAAAAAAAAGAGATGATTTTCAAACATGATGCAGTGCTCTGCTGATAGATGTGTGATGGACTGGCCATCGATCAGAATCAGGAATGCTTTCTACTCGTGGAAAACTCACGTCGCACCTCCCTGTTGCAACTTGTTACGACTGAAGGACAAATTACTCCTCCACTGCTTTCTTAATTAATCAGTCAGACATCTTTAGAGAGAAAGCAGGTCAAGTTCTTGTGTACCTCGCATGCATACTGACAGGCCCCTGGGGCGAGGAAAAGGTCAAGACGAAGGACTTCCTGTCTATCTTTTAACACTCCTCTGACACACCTTTAATCAGCACGCAGTGTATTGGTATTCAGATCAGGAAGCGGCGTGGTGCAGCGATGCAGGCTTAGGCAGGCACCACATCATTCCTGAACATTATTAACTAACTGCATAGCCTGATAAGCCCGATCTCTCCAGTCAGCACTTTCCTTTGGCAGAGTGCAGCTCTCCTGTATCAGCCAAGAGGCTCTTTTCAGCACAGGATCCTATCCTGATCTGATTTTAGTATCACAGAAATGGACTTCCTGGAGAAAGGTCAGCCATTGGCACACTTGGTGATTCTCTGGCTGGTTTCTACAATGTCCTGTATGCAAAAATCCACCAAAATGTCCTCTAGTAATGGCCTTCTGTTAACAAATCTGCACTGTAAGCACTAGAGTTAAAACCAAAATGAGATGATATAAACGTAAAGAAAGGCCTGGTTACTCACATATTCATCGGTGTTGGGGTCCTGGTTCTGAGGCTGGTCGGGCATGGGCACTTCACAATCAGGACTGTAGTGCTCACAGTAGTCATAGGCAGCACGATGGTCTCCTACAATCAATAGCTGCTGGATGTCTCCCTGGAAAACACAAGAAGCAGGAAGTCGTGACTCACTGAACATAGCTACAAGTCATGCATTTAAACAAACAAGCAAACAAATGGAAGAGAGACGGCGGTCTCACACTGGCGGACCCCCGGGGAGAAATGTAAGCGAAATAAACAAATAATGAGGAGGGAGAACATCTGTGAGCAGCATTATCACATGCAGAACAGGCAGGGCTAGAAACTAGGTCAAGCCATGGGGGGGGGGGGGGACTACAGGCTGACTAAACGCTGGAGAACTTTGTCCGGGGTCCAAGAGTGTCGTTTTACATCAGAGATGAGCACCAGAGTTTAAGACAAAAAGCTCACGGACAACAGAGTTGAGTTACAAGAGAACATGGAACAAAGGACTTTATGTAGCTGTAGACGATCACACAAACAAACACACAACCACAGGCTCACACTAACACACACACAAGGTCAGTCTTTAACAGAGGAGGGCAAAATACTAAGATATAGTAGTAATAGTTTAGTTCAAAAATATTCTATTCCAACCAAAAGACATGCATTCAAAATGTGACTTAAGTAAAAGTAAAAAGTGTTAACTTCAATAAACTTAAAGTACAAAAGGTTAAATTACACATTCTCCACAATGGCCCATTTGAGAATATTGAATAGTATATACTTGTTTAATAATTTTTAATGCAACAGAGATTTTTACCTTTTCCTTTACTGTCGGATAGCTTGTAAATTTCACCAAGGGACCAATTAAGTTTTATCTTACCCTGTAATAATACATAATACATTTTTTAATAATTGTATTTTTGATAAGCTGTATTATAAATCTGAATCTTCAAACTAAAGCTTTCAAGTCAATGTAGTAAAAAGTGAAATATCTGCCTTTAAGATGTAGAAGTATAAGGAAATGAAAACACTTAAGCAAAGTAACTCAAATAAGCACAGTATTTGAGTAAATGTACTTTGTAACTTTGTCAACTACTGGTCTCAAACTCAATGATGTACAGTATTGTGAAAAGTTTATTTAAACACCACCCCAGATTTGAGGACATGAGTGATTTAGCCTTCAAGCTCATCATGTAAGACGAATGGATGAACTTAGCACATGGGGCACGGAGACATGAGCAGACCTGCAGGTATAGGTCGCTCACCTGATCTGATTTAAAGGGGGGTGTGTGCATAAACTGGGTTGAGGTGAAGGGGGGGGAGGAACAGTAGCAGAAGTGAGAGATTTAAAGAAAGAGAGGAAGAGGAAGAGACAAAGATTGATAGAGAAAAGAGCAAGACAGAACAAGAGGGAAAAAAGGAAAGGCTCAGAAGGATCCCCGGGCTACACAGGGAGCCGGGTGTGTGTGTTTGCCAAATGTGTTTCTGGGCCACAGAATGCATATGGCTCCAAAACGCTGTACTGTGTCGATCCAAACATGTCCGATCACACTTCCAAAAGGCGGTGATGTCATTCCTCATCAATCAAACCAAACTCAGCTGAAACAAATATATGTTCGAGGGGGTGTGGGAATCGTGAAGTGATGCAACCATGAGAGCGGACCACAGAGAAGGAAGTGTTTTCAATTATGACCAAATCTGAAACCTCTCAACATGTCTTTCATACTTAAATTCTCCATGGGTATCTGTCTTGTCTGTCAAACTGAAATGGATTGCATTTGTGGTGTAACCAGTGACAGTCCAACATACCACACAGAACTCCCCGTCTCAGATACTTTAATAACGCTAGCAGAACACTCTGATGCTCCATCCTTGGCTCGTAATATTAGAAGGGTTTATGCAGGTTGCAGGCAAACAAATCCCCAAACCTCCTCAGGCAGAAAGCCTAAAGAAGCCATTACACAAGCCTCTGAGCTATAAGAGCTCCCAGGAAACTTTCAAATGGCTTCCTCTTAGCTAAAGTCGGAATCTGTTTGGAGCCTTTACTCCGTATCAGTCTCCCTTATCCTGGCAGGACTGCGTGTAACAGCTGCACCGAAAGGGGATGATGGGAATTCAGTGTTTGAAATGAGGTCACATTCAATAAGGAAAAATACCTCTGTACAACAAAACAGCCCTGCAACTGCTTTCCTATTCATATGTCATTCTTCAACTTTCTTTTCCTCTAAACTCCTTTTTTACAGCTCCCAGAGCAGCCAGATGAATGTCAGGATCCTGAAGGAGAGATCCTAACTGTACCAAGACGAGATAATTAATCATACACCTTGGCATTAATGAGAACATCCTCGCAGCACCGAGAGCAGTTTAAAGAAGTGTGACATGTACAAAGTGGAGGAGGCGTGTGCACTGCCTAGAGAAAAGTCTGCTCCTATAAGGATCTTACTGAGGCTTGAACATCTGATGGCTGCTTTTGATATTACTAACTCTATAGCCAAAGGCAAAAAGGGAAAAAGGAATGAGAAGAAGCTGGATAGGGAATGTGGACCTGGGCTACGTGGATCATTCAGCACCAACAGTTCAAGCCAGCTGAAGTTTTATTTGTGTTAAAAAGGCCTGGACGGCCAGGAGCTGAGAATAAAACCTAATGCAGATGGATAGGCAAAGGAAAGTCAAAAACAAAATTTTTCCGCATTCTTGCAACTCAAAATAACACTTAGATTGGAACATTTTGAAATAATGTCCTCACTTCTACTCCTTAGTATGAGTAAAGCTCCAAAAACTCCCATGATGCAACTTCATAGTAAAGCTGACACCTTCACAGCAGTTTATTTCAATCTGCAGGCCAATAGTACATAAATACAAATACAAATAATTATTTTATATTATTATTTGAAAATAGCTTTTGAAAGCATATCAAAAAATCATGACAAAATAAATATATTTGACCAACTACATCACAAAGAGATGAACGCTTATTTTCTTTACACAAAACAGTTTTTTGTGTAAAGTTCATAGAGTACACACGTTCCCATGAAGCTGCACCTTCACAGTAAAACTATTGTCAGAATCCTGATCCACCGTGACCACCACTGAATCTGGTTCTGGTTTCCTTTCTTTGAGCTGCTCTTTCCCCACACATCACTCGATAGATTCTCGAGCCAAACGTTATATAAGCTGCTGTTTTACAGATGTAGGGAAGCAGTACATATTCCTATACTGCGCTCTCGCTGTATGATAGTGCCAAATCTCTCATTTTGTATTCTGGCGCTGATCTGTGAACTCACTCCAGCAGTACATTAAAGCATGAGAAACTTCTCCTTTACTATATATGAGGAGCTACTACTCTATAATGTGATGACAGGAACCCGAACTGCAAGTAATGCGTGTGCAGAGTCAGGGAATGTGATAACACTGATTGGTAAACCCAACACTTAAAAAGAGCAAAATTATAGCTCATTCCTCATTTTAGCTCACATCAACGGACCTGATGCGTGAGATAAACTGACATATATTGTAAAATGATTAAATACAGCGACAGTCGCAGCAACCACTGATCCCACACCCAAACAGAGCACACCCTGGAATTACACAATCACACCCAGACCCCTGGGGGAACCATAAAAGACATGCAATCAGCTTTCATATTTGAGAAGGGACAGTGACATTTTTCTCTCTGGAGCATCATGTGGCGCATCAGAGTGGTGCTTAAGGCAGAGATTCAGACAATAACAGGGTTGCTGCTGTCAGCATCTCCCAGGACTCCGCTGAAATACGACTCTTCTCCCGGCCAACGCTCTTGCTGGAAAAGTCATTGCCTGTGGCTGTGAGCAACGGCTGAGCTCACTTCACATACTTTTGTGTTAAAGACACTGTTGAAGACACTTGTGCAGCCCTGAATGAGACCAGGGCTGCAGATTAGATTACAGGAGCACAACGAAGACTGATCGATAACACTCTAAAAATGTGCAGTATATCTATTCGTTCTTTGTTTCAATACTCAAATGTCACATTAAATGTTTTCTTTTCATTCCCGAACCTCACCCTGCTCGACCCACACACACACACACACACACACATACACATACACATACACATACACACACACACACACACACACATACACACACATACACACACACACACACAGATCCTTGCTGGGTGTTCTGGCTGTGTCCAGGTGGGGGCAGGAGAGTGCTCTAATGTGCATAAAGCCAAACATTTGTCTCAATCTGAAGCTGACCCACAACCATGCAGGGTGGACAGAGTTCATCGTGTGCACTCTTGTGAATAAAAATATATGATGGATGGGACGAAAAGCAATATTAATGCGGTTTCAAAATCCCCACAAGATGGATGAATGGTGCGATATAAGCTGCTAAAACCTATTAAAATGAACCGCCTGCCTCTTTCTTATACACACACACATACTGTAGTTTAAACATGAGGTGAAAGGAACTTAACAAAGGCCTTTTTGATGAGAAGGACGTTTTTAGGTGATGTCAGGAGACCCCCTGCTGATCCTTTTTGGGGGGGGTCACACTTTATTGGCCCAGAGTAGCATAGCATAAACTAAACAGCACAAATCAATGCCCCTAAAAATTCTTCATATCCCCAGGGACACCTGATAATGGCTCTGTTTACCTTTTACGCCCCTCACAAGGTGAAGACAACAGCTTAAAAGGAGAAAAACTCAAGTTTAGTTTCTGGATCATATGTCAGCAGAGGAAAAAAGTGGGTAGGAGGGCCCCACGAAGCAGGATAAGACTCTGGGAGGTCCGAGCTCTGGCTGCGTTTTAAGGCGAGCTACTTTCACAACATATTTACACAGTCACCCCTGAGCTCTGAGCCAGGCAGCGGTCCCTCTGCCAGCCAGCTCTCGCAGTCCCAGCGCCTGGGCAAACTCCAACCTGACCACAGAAACCAAACAACACATCGAGGAGGTCAGCCCGCTGCTCTGAGGCTATAAATCAGCACGGACACACAGAAACGCACATGGACACATAAACAAAGAAGAAACACCTTTTTTACGTAAGTAAAAACACACATATGCCTGCAGAGAAATTCCACTCCAGCACATTTACAGAATCAAACCTTTACCAGACATCAAGCACATTCTCACCCGCATACACTTTC